AATATTCTGTCTTACTCCAGAAAGAATGGCAATCATTAGGAAATCAAACAGTAACAAGAAAGGAACTCTTCTACCTTGTTGGTGGGAATGCAAATTAGTACAACCATTATGGAAATAAGTATAGCGATTTCTCAAAGAAGTAGAGCTAGACATTCCATAGGACCCTGCTATCTCTCTGCTAGATACCTTCCCCAAAGAGCTAAAGTCATCATACTACAGCCATACTTGCATACCAATATGTACAACAGAATGATTCATAATAGCTAAATGCTGGAAGTGGCCTGCATTCCCATCAAAAGGTGACCGGATAAACAAAATGTGGCAACTATGTAAAATGAAATACTACTTCACTATAAAGAAGGACAAATTTGAGGCACTTTTAGGAAAACAGATGCATCTGCAAAATATAATTTCGAGTGAAGTAAATCAGACATGTAGGCTTGAACACCATATGGTATCTTGCATTTAAGTGAGGAAAAGTACAAACAAAGTGAAGGATAAAAGGTAGAAAAGGACAAGGGAACCAATCTCATCCAATGGGAGCTGGTTCAAGGGAACGAAGAGACAGGTAAGGGGGAGCAGAAGGGGAAATGAGAGAAATAAAGATATGCCATATACAGCATACTAACGGCCCTAATCAATGTAAATGTTGTAAGCCATAACTTGTGCTAAAACAAGCAGCACCAACAAGTATGAAAAAGGTGATGGGAAATCAGAGGAGGAGGGGGAAGAGGGAAAGAAGGACACGGAGATTAAAAAAAACAAGCTGTAATATGTAAGTGTAATCACTCCCCAAGATGACTGTGAGCGCATGTCTTACAAATATGTACTCATAAAATGAAATAAAGTGAGAAAAAAAGAGCACTGGGAGATTCTGGGAGACCACTACCTCAGACAACTCTTTTAAACTCCCTTCTCTATTACATCAGTTACCAGATGATATCCTTTGTTTCTCCACCCTACTATATTGATATCTCCTTGGGGACAAAGATATGACTTTCATTTCTCTGATACCAGCACTGGATCAGTAACAAAAGTCAAATGTGTGAAAAAATAAATACGATTGATGAGATATTAACTTCCTCAAATTGCTCACTCTGCCTACAATAAGATCATAACTACCCCCTTTATTTTCTGGAACATATTTTTAGATCATCTTAAAGTTCATCTTTACTGTATATTCCCATGGCAGATATTTTTGTTCACTTTTTTCTTATGATATTTTATAGTCTTTTATTTATGCATTGTATGTCTCTCCCATTGAGTTCTCAAAGTCAGAGACTAAATCTTCCATTTTGTGATCTCTTCAACAAATATCCACTTGTTTAATTAAATCAATACTGCAGCACTTAAAATTTCTTATGTATGGACTGTGGATTTAGCTCAGTGGTGCAGCGCCTGCCTGGCAAGTGTGATGTCCTGAGTTTGATTCCCAGTACCCCCCAAAATACTCTTTTAAATTTACCATATCATTTAAAATATTAGAATAGCATTTCTGTGACCATTTAACATTCCATAGAAATGTAATTCAGCTATCTGAACAAGTGCTGGGGAAAATCTTGTGTTCAAATTGAGCATCAAGGTTTTGCTTTTTTGTTTGTTTGCTTTGTTTTGCTTTATGACAGGGACTCATTATACTGCCTGGGATGTCCTCAAACACCTGAGTTCAAGCGATCTTCCTGCCTCAGCTTCCTCAGTTTCTGGAACTACTGGCAAATCTATGACACCCAGTTAGTACAAGAAGGTTTTTTTCAGTACTGGAGATTGAACCCAGGGGTTTAAGCACTGAGCTAAATCTCAAGAATTTTTTGTTTTTTATTTTGAGACAAGATTTTATTAAGTTGCTGAGTTGTCCAGACTGGGCTGAAACTTGCAATCTTCCTGCATTAACCTCTGGAGTAACTGGGATTACAGCTATGCATCACTCTGCTGGCCAAGATTCTCAATAATCCCAGCACTCTGAGAGACTGAGGCAGGAGAATGCCAAATTCAAACTCCGCTTGGGCACCATAATGACTTAGTAACCACTTGTCTCAAAATAAGTAGTAAAAAGGGCTGCAGATGTAGCTCAATGTGTAAAACTCTGAGTTCAAGCTCCAGTTTCACAACAAAAAATTATATCAGTACCTGATGGTTTGAGCACAGCTTATTCTAAAAGCAGGGATGTGGATTTGCTCTCCAGTTGTGCCCTGACCTAATGCTCTTTCAGTTCCAAGCTGTGCTTAGTAGACTGCCAGAGAAAAGAACACTTGAGAGTGGTTGTGGTGCTTGGTAATGATGCTGGTCACTGGAATTCCTCCACTAGGTCGGTGAACTGAGATCAAGATAGTGGGACAACAGAAGCCATAGATCTGGAACGAGTTTGCTCTTTAGTTTTTTAAAAATGGAGGAGCTAAGACAAGCCAACTTTGGAGAAATGGCTGAGGAGAAAGAAGAGGCCATTGGAAAGCA